AAAAGAACAATCTAGGGAAATAGAATTGTTTTAATTATTACAGTAGTTTCAATGAAAACTATTTGTTCTAGGACAGTCTAATAAAACCAACTGGATGCTTGAGGATATGAATCAGAACTAACAGCTCTCCTCCCTTGAGATACTCTGATTGGCTGATACATTATTTCCTTCAGGATCTCCGTTGCGCAAAGGTTGCTTTTGCATGTCAATACTGTCTATTTAAAGCTACACTATAGGCCTATAAACATATTCACAAATGGCCTAGCTCTTCATACGACTTATTCAGGTTGAGAGTGATGCAGATTCACAATGTCACCTACCTAAGACTATCACTACATGGTTCCTTAATGTTAAAGTCAATAACTGACCCAGTGTTACCACCTCAGAACCTGACAGACGTGTTATGCTGTTGTGTCTTCATTGCAACATCCGCTCCTTTATTCACAAAACAGTCACAGACAAGTGTCTCAGCAGCTAATTCAAAACTCATTAGAAACATGCAATTGCAGAGCAGAATCCCAAAGGGATCCAGCTATCTAATCAACGTTCCCTACTGCAAAGCCCATCCAACAGGGCGGCTCATAACTAACGTTTCCACAGAGAAATTAAACCGAGGTGTCATTATGAAAGGAGACGCTCCTCTGATGATTTCATTATGACAGTACCATATGTTTGATGGTATATTATAGATATTAAGGATGTTAAAGGAGCATTTTTTTTGACAAGTTGTGTAATTCCTTTTCATTTTTAAAGAAATGAAAGCAATAATTAATTAAACATTCAGGTAAAATTAATCAAATGTAGACCAGGTGTACTACCTTTTTTTGTTCTTAAAGAAGGCAAGAATATCTTAATTGTATGCTATTTTAGCAAGTAAGCAAGTTTAAAGGAATAGTTTAAAAAAACAAAAAAGAAAAGAAAATTGTCTGTACTCACCTTCAGGCCATCCAAGATGTAGATGAGTTTGTTTCTTCATTAGAACAGATTTGGAGAAATTCAGCATTATATCACTTATTCATTAATGGATCCTCTGCAGTGAATGGGTGCCGTCAGAATAAGAGTCTAAACAGCTGATGAAAACGTCATAATAATCCAGTCCATAAATTAACATATTGTGAAGTGAAAAGCTGTGTGTTTGTAAGAAATATATCCATCATTATGGCATTTAACTTCAGATCGTCCATAATCCATAATCATGATTAATAATTCTTCCAGAGAAAAAGTCCATCCCCTGTTGTCCTCTCACATCAAAATCCACCAACATATTTCTGTAGAACTGTTTTGGAACTGTAAATGATGCTTAAACGTCTTTAATGATGGATTTGCTTATTACAAACATGCAGCTTTTCACTTCACAAGACGTTAATTGATAGACTGGAGTTGTGGACTCTCAGGCATTGCATTCTGAGGGCACCCAATCATTGCAAAGAATGCATTGGTGATGTAGTGTAATGCTAAATTTCAAATTTATTTTAGTTATTTAGTTAATTTTTTTTGGGGGGGTGAACTCTTCCTTTAAAGGGGTCATATGACGTTGCTTAAAAGAACATTATTTTGAGTATTTGGTGTAATGCAATGCGTTTATGTGGTTTAAGGGTCAAAAACATTATTTTCCACATACTGTACATTATTGTTGCTCCTCTATGCCCCGCCTTTCTGAAACGCGTCGATTTTTTCAAAGCTCATCGTTCTGAAAAGCGAGGTGTACAGTAATTGGCCAGCTATCCAGTGCGTTGTGATTGGCCGAATGCCTCAAGCGTGTGATGGAAATGTTATGCCCCTTACCATATGATGACGTGTCCCGGCGCGACGAGACAAAACCAATAAAACCCATTATAAACGAGGCATTTGTTGCATCCAGTGGGGACATAATTACGGATTATAATGACTTATACTGTCTTTTTACGCGTTG